CAATATTCTTCAAAACATTGTTATTAAACCAGATCAGTGTCAATCAATAACACTTTAAAGTTTTATTGAACATTAAAATAACCTAATGTCCTACATAGATTTATAAAGTTTTATAAAACTATAATTGTTTTTTAATTAGGGGATTAAAAGATTAAGATTGTTGTTTTGGAATAAGATATTGTTGATTTCTCGGAAAACTTTATTCTTGATAAAAGCGCCTGCATCAGCCAAATATATTGTATTTTCTTTTTTTACCTTTGAAGTTTGTATAATAATAATTACAAATCCGCTTTTAAAATATATTGACAAAAATATACACTAAATGTTCATTTAAATTTATAAAATTATTTAAAAAATGCAGGAGGAAAGTAAAACAGACATACTGTCAAAAACATAAAAATCCAGAATCTCAGAAAGATGTAACACATCCAAGCTCGCTCGCCACGGCACTGGTGAGAGTTTCGACCAGGGTTAACAAATATTTTATTTATTTTTAGCAAGTTTTAGAACAAAAACCTTTATTTTTGTTGTGCGCTCAAACGGCTAAAGATAAAAGCATGAAATTTTGGGAGTGGTTACATCTAACTAATATCTAAAAAGTTATGGTTATCTGCTCCCACACTTTTTTTTAGAAGTATGAAGTAAATTAACTCCTAAAATTTAAAAAAAATCACTTGGTAAATAACGGCGTTTGACATTTATTTCAAATAAGCGAGGGTATGTATTCCTCTTTCTGTAACTATTCAATTTCCTGTAGTCTTTTGATAATTTCTTCTCTACCATCTCTTTTACGTTGTTCTAACTTCCTATTTGTGTCACCTCATCTGTTTTCTGCATCATCACTGGTCTATCTATCACTCATGCTTTTGTTACAAATGTCTTTTTTACTTTTCTTTATTATTTTCCCTCATTTCTATCATCCTTTTTCACACTACTAGTCTACACTAATATTTCATCGGAACCATTATTCTCCTCTCAGAATACTTTTTAAAATAAAATATTATTTTAAATTGTCACCTCTCACAATTAATAATAAATAAATTTTGGATTTGAATCCGCGAGCTTTCTTTGTTCCTTGTTGCAATCATAGCTTAAATTTAGCCGTCAATGATGTCGCAAAATCGAATCAATTTGTTTCTTTAGTTCAAGAACTGTTTGTATTTTTTTCAGCTTCTACTAAACGCTGGTCAATTCTGAAATCAAATTTAACTTTAAAACCTTTATCTCCTGTTTTTCCTTGTAGTTACGGCTCACTATGAATCTCTAAAGGATAAACTCAATTTATAATAAATAAATACAATGGTCCTTTTAAATGAGAATATTTTATTTAATATAAAACATAATATTTACTTGTTCTATATTTTGCTAATGTCACCTGACCTAGGTAGGCACCAATGATACCATTGTTATGGTTCGAAGGTACAGATACGGTTTTCGATAACAAAACGATCCCACCTGAACAATTAAAATACATCAAAGCGGAATCTTCTCCATTAAAAAAAATGTCATCTTAATGCAGGCGTTGTATACCCATTAATTATATGCAATAATAAAAATAGTTCACGTTACAAGCTCGCATTGTAATACAAAATGTGCTCTACATACACTAATAATATGATCCAATTTGAATTAATCTCCATATAAATTGTAAATTGTGAATTGTATCGATGCGAATTTGTACTTATCATATATTAGATGGAAATTCTTTCGATGGAATTTTTTTTCGATTTATATTGAGGTGTAAAAATATTTTCCGAGATCCATCACAACAAAATACCTAGTTGTTTAGATACAATTAAGCGATGTGCTTTCAGCATAATAAAACTTTCAACAAAAGACATTTAAAATAACGGTACTGAAAATTGTTGTATTGTACAATATTGTAATATACAGGTAGTAATTTTAAAACTGTTCCAACGGTGATCCTTATATTGACCTATATACATGTCATTTTGATTTTTTGATGCGCTAGTCACTATGAATGTATTATGTATTGGTTAGAGTCTGTTCCATTACAGAAAAGTACAATGATGTGACGTCATATTCAGCGCCATATTGTAAATGTTTTTTTTATACCGTAAAGTGGGGTTATTATAGATTTTTTACGGACCTTTTTGGATGTACCATAAAAAGCGTCCAAGGATAAATAAGTTTCATATCGAGTTTGGATAGGTCTACATACAAGCTATTACCATGATAAAAAATACGACCCACTTTTATAGGAGGTCCTATAAAAATGTTTGAAGGTCTATCCAAATTAACCCCATAGAGCGGGGATATAAAAAAATCGAGAACATTTAATAAACATAAGTACAAATTCTAAAAAACAACGTAAACTTAAATTAAATTTGGTTTCTTCAGCCTTTTAACATAATTCGGCACTCAACCAGGAAGTATCTGCGTAGTAAATATAGGATGTTATTGGCAATTATAAGACGATAAAGTCTCATTAAATTTAAAAAATACTCTTCTTCCTTTGCCATTTATTTTTGGACTCTGGTGTATTTTTTTTATATGTTCTTCAAGAACATCGTCTATATCTTTTACATCTGGTGTTAGGAATCGTTCTGTTTTTTTTTTTTTAATCTACTATGTACGAGCACTCTGAATTAGTTTTTTGAAATTGAAACTACTTTCCCAATGAAATAGCATGGTACATTTTTCTTTTATATTCTACCAATACCCAGTCATTTACAATCGGTTTCTTAAGTTCAATCGAAGAATTTGCAGGTGGTACGTTTTCTTTGAAATGTATCAATGGCATATCATCATCACTGCTACTGCTATTTGGTGATTGATCTCAGTCATCGAAACTCTCGGGGCTATCGCCTACTTCATCGGGTTCATATGTTACATTAGATTCGTCAGAAGAAGACGATGATGGTATCGCTGACTTCTTTTTTTTTAAGTTTCAATTTTTTAGCAACTATTTTTTTTTTGGAATCGCACTGGTTAAAGCAACAACATGAGTGGCTAACACACTCTTTCCAGGCTCTACTGAAACTCTCTTGCGTCTCTGTTTTTGTTGTGATGGTGCTTCTATGACGCATTTCTTTCAAAATGTCAACCACAGCAGTAGAACCAACATTATGTGTACCTTCGGCGTCTGCTGCTTCAGGTTCAGGGGAAGTCGTTGCTTTGGCTCGGCAGGATCGAATGGATGTGGATCATTTTTACGGAAACCTGATGAGATTTTTGGAGGCTTCACCATTTTCATCCAATTTTTGACGAAGTTTATTTAGTAGCTGCGGAAATATATCTTTTAATAACGTAGACATTTTACGCCCTCCTGTTTTCTTCCATTCGGTAAGTATCGCTCGCCAATACTTCTTTAGAGGAGCGTAGAATGCCACATCAAGGGGTTGCATCAGATGAGTTGAGTTAGAGGGTAGGCAGATACAAGATATGTTCATTTCTTGGCATGTTTGTAATACTTTCTGTAAAAAATGTGAGGATAGGTTGTCGCCAACTAAAATCTGCAATAAAAAAAATGGGGATTATTATTCAAATAGCAAAATCTTGAATCTCTAGGTTATGAACAAACCTCAGCTCTATCCTTGTTTCTTAAATAAGGGACAACAATGCTATAAAACCAATCCTCAAAGCAGACGGCATCAAACCAGCCTCTTCGAGACCGATTGTAACGGGTTCTTGCAGGTCCATCGTGAGTTCAACTATCCCACATATGATCTGCCTTGTAGACTACATATTCAAGCAAAAGTTGCCCATCTGCAGTTCCAGCATACATTATGCTTATGGCAGTCTTCGAGGAGTTAACTACCCTTTTAGGGTACTTGGTGCCTCTCTTGAATATACATTTTTGCCCCTGGGTTATCAGTCAGGTTGGTTTCGTCAAAATTTATTATTAGAGACGGGTCTGTGGTATTCAACATATCTCGGGCATTGTCAAAGAAAATTTTTATTTCTCTTCAAAAAGTTTGAAGCCCAATCTCGACCGGGTAGATTGTTATTAAGATAAGACTTGATTAATATCCTCAAGTCAGTAATGTCAAATGAAAAGCCCCAGGAAGCAACCACGTTTAGATATTCAACCAGCACTTTTTCTTCGTCGCTTGTTAAAATGCAAGGCCTTCCTGCTGTAAGAAAAGTGCTTTTTGTCTTAGCTCGTAAAGCTAGGGTAGACCTTGGCACCCTATATTTTTTAGAAACCTTATCAAGGCTCAGACCATTATACTGAATATTACGTATGACGTTTTGGAAGGCTTCTTCCGTATAGTTTCTGTACGAGTATTTTTTACCATTTCGTGAATGGGTTAAAGTTTTTACGTAAGTGCGAACCATTTTTATTTTAGGGACCAGAAGAGATTTTTGTCCCAAAGAAGCAAATTCTTTGGTTATGTTAGAAAATGGGGCTATTTTGGAAAAGCGAGGCTATTTTGGAAGAATAAAAAATATCTCGTCCAAAATTGCCCCGCTCACCGAAAAACCCCATGGTTTTTTTAAATATATATTGTCCTTAAAATACGTATTATTTCTGAGTAACAACACCCACACAAACTTTTTTGCAAAGTCATAGCTGCATTCACTCAGTTTTACTAGTGTGCAGTAGTGAAAGTTTGACCATATTTATTTTCTAAAAAAAAAATGCGTGGTTTGCCGGCGTCTAGAGCTACTAAACTTACCTCTACCAGCCCGCAACAAGTACTGACTACTGACTGGCTTTTCGCGGTCTTCTCTGAGAACCCTCCAACCTCCAACGTTCGTTGGCGTCACACGCCATGATTACACATCGTTGCCAGATTGAATAAGAAAAACACAATTTCCCAAATAACCCCGCATTTCTAAAATTACCCCATCATACGGTATACAAAAACACGAGGCAATTAAAAGGCAAACAAATATTTCCAGGGCTATATATAGTCAAGTGGACATTGAAAGACAGTGTTAAGGAGAACACGCTTTAGGCCAGGGATTCTTAAAATGGTCAATATAGACCCCCTCCTAGATTGCACCAGACTTTACAATATGTTATAAATGCTATGAACAAGATTAGAAGCAATTCTTTGAACTTTCAGTTATTTGCTCAGCCATGCGAGGAAAATGACGAAGTCTTCATTCTGTTATTTCTGCGCACTGAAGTTTTTGAATATGTGTTGCAGTTTTTACAAGAAAAAGATCCAAATTTGAAAGAAAAATATTTACAGTTTTCGCATTTGTCAATATTACCAGAAATGCTTCAAGACGATGTTATATTATCATATATGACTCACTTGGAAGCATTACATAAGAATTTTACTAAGAGATTTGAGAATCTCTTAAATTTACAAACTCCTCAATGGATAAAAAATCCGTATAATACCACAGCCATAGAAGAAGCCAACTTGATAATGCAAGAAGAGTTGATCATCATCAGCACAGACGAGGAGCTTAAGCAGAAGTTCAACCAAGGCTATCAGAAGTTCTGGTTGCGGCTCAACATTGAAACACAGTATCATGTATTGTAGAACATTACTGATAGACACCTTAATGCATACCTAGTCGAAAAAGGCTTGAGTGTTGTTATAAACATTTTGACAAAACAAAAAAAAACCGTTTGTAAATCAGCTAACGTGGAGATTTAAGGCAATACTGAACCAGATTTAGCTAGATTGGTAAAAAGTCACCAGGTTTATTCTTCGCACTGAATTCATTTTTATCTTTACTTTGTTATATTAAATAATTACCTACTTAAGTATTTTACTTAATTTGTATTAATAATTAATTTTTTAATAATTGACACTTTTGAAGTAATTTGGCTATGGAGGTCTGCGGTATCAGTTCATTTTGGAAAAGAGGTCTCGTGCCCAAAATAGTTTGGGAATCCCTGATCTAGAGCGTTGTTTTATTTGAAAATGCCTATCTAGTATAAATACAAAATAAATGTTTTAAAACATCAACACTAATTGATGAACTTACGTCTTAAAATACTCAAGAATAGCAACTATTCTACAAAACAACTCTTCCAAACACAACCTCAAATTTTAAAGACCAATAGAAAAAGGGCCGCTAACCTTTTCTAAACGGTATCGCACAAAAATATCTCCTTACCTTTTTAGGTTCTAGAATACTGTAATATATAACACTAAGCACCAAGGCCTTAGAAGGCGCATGGCTTTGTTTATAATTACTTTTGTTTAGTTTTTCTTTTCCATTTGACTACGTTCAATCTCTTAATGTCCTCTTCAACCTTCTTTCCTCATATATCTTTTGGTAGTCCCTTTCTTTTCTTCGCTTCTAGTTTAGTATCCAGTATTTTTTCTTCGCATCCTCAAAATTTGTTTTATTCAAGTCTTTATATAACTCACTAATTTCGTTATTTGTTCTTTTTTTCCAAAGCCGATATTTTTTCTTAAATTTTTTGAACACTCTCCTTTTCTATATTTCTAGTGTCTGTATAACTTTCAATCATTATTTGGTAATTGAGTTATGAGAAGATACTAATAGCAGTAGCAGAATAGTGTATAACTGAAGTATATTACACATAACAGCATTTAAGAAACAGAAATAGGAGCTAGTGGAGAACAATTAAAGGAGAAACGCGTAGCAAAAGGTAGAGAAAAAATCCAAGGCAGAAGTCATAGCAGGAGAGATGATAACAGGAAACAAGGGAGAGCAGGAGTCAGAGAAGGGCATAAAGCAGGAGTGCGTCAGAACCAGAATTACAGGAAGAAAGGAACAATTTATTAAGTTAGTCTTATTAATTTTTTTTTGGTTTTAAATTTTTCTAGGAAGCTCTACGATATTGGTGCCTTATTCCAAAATACAAAATTACGATGAAATAGATGTAATGCCTAAGGAGGTTTTTGATATAAAATAGTTTACAGTTTTGGCCAATTTTCGGTTTCATTAAAATTGATAAAAAAATATACCGACGAATTGAGAACCTCCTCCTTTTTTGAAGTCGGTTAAAAATGAAGTTTGATCCATTTGATATTTGTATATATTGTGGTAAGTCAAAACTAGAACCTCTAGAACGTTATCTAAAAAATTTTGTGATTGCATTGGGTGTTCTACTAATAAGGGATTGTAATATTAAAAAAATCTACTCTACTAAGGATCATAGTTTGATATATGTTATAAGGACATCTAAAAAAATGTCCTTAATTAACAGATTTTATATCCAAAGTGCCGACAAATCTCGACGATGCTGCGTTGAAAATGATTGTTGAAACAGTCATTAAAGAAGTCATTGCAAGTTTTTTGACCCGCGTTTGCACATGTGAGTGGAATGAATATCATCCATTGCTTTTATCATTTTTATTTCTAGAACAAGTTCCTTTGGTATACGATTTGCACCGGCCTAAAAGGTCATTGTGATCGTTTCGATTTTTTCGTTTTAAAGGTTACTTGTCCGAGGTAAATAGAATTAATACATTTCAACGACCAGAAAATTATTCTAGCTGTTGGCTCTGCAACGTTTTCATGACATTAATAATTCCTATTTCAGTTCGAATGACGCAAATAGCATGTGACGAAGAGAAAACCGCTCTATGATCATTTTTCTTAGCCCAAAATAATTATAATATTGTAGGGGGTGAAATTCGGGATATATACCATCAGCCCCATTTTAGTATTTTAAATATTTTTTGTAGAATATTCTAATAATATTATTATACACTTCCCACTGTAGTCTATGGAAAGTATTATAAGTTTACTTTCACAAAACCATTTTTTTTTAATATTGGTCCAAATTTAAACTTTTTTTTACCAAAATAGCATTACAGCAATTTTACCTTGCTAATTTGCCAAATGAAAGATATCGGTAAGAAGAACATTTGTTTTTATAATGACTTGTCTCAATTGTCTGTCCGTTCCGAAATATACTTAAAGTTGAAACCATATAGAAAACTTTTTTATTATTGGTTTTAAGAAAAAAATTGTTCGTGATAAAAAGTTCTGTATGGTCTAAAACTTAAAACACAACCATCATATATCAATTTGTTTAAGCCATATACGAGATTTGCCAAAAAGTATGAATTTTACTTAAGAATAAAGTGCCTTATTTTTTACAATACAGAAGAATGTTATAAAATTAAGTTATTTTGAATTAAAAGTTATATTTAAATATGCAAATAGGTTAGGTGATTATTTACGTGTTAAATTATAAATGATTTGTAGTTATAGATTAAATAATTTTTAATGCTATATGGCTATAATTATATATTTAAATATAACTTTTAATTCAAAATAACTTTATTTTATAACATTTTTTTGTATTTGTCATACAGTGTCTACTTAAGTTGGAACCATATGGAAAACTTTTTTAATATTTAACATTTAAGTCCTATGTATGTTTCTAGGTTTCTGACGTCCCTACGATGGATAAGCGTAGATTTTTGTATCGTCTGCGTAGAAGGAGCAACAGCTTTTTATGTGCACAGAAATATCAGCAGTATATAATAGAAAAATTAGGGGGCCAACGACTGATCCTTGAGGCACTCCACTAACAACGGATTTGGTTTGAGAGAAACTATTACTAACTCTTACGCGAAATTGTGTTGCCTCGGATTCCTAGGTGTTCAATATTTTTGAGAAGTTGGTGCTTTGGAACTCTATCAAAGGCTTTAGAAAAATCCAAGTATATAACATCTGTAGGCAGACCAGCATCTAAGGCTTTTGTCTAGTCATTGACAGACTGCAGGAGATTAGTTAAGGTAGATCGTTCTCTGATAAATCCATGTGGTTGGGTGGGAAGTACACGTTCGTTTTCAAGAAAGTCAGTTACCATATCACATATTATGGACTATATTACTTTACAAACTATTGATACAAGGCATATCGGTCTATAGTTATTTGGGTCAAGCTTATTGCCCTTTTTGAATACGGCAGTCACTGATGATAGATGGCAAGATGTGAGAATTAAAGGAGGAAGTCATTATACGGGAAATAGGATAACAGAGAGTGTCAGCACAAGATTTTAAAAGAAAAGAGGAGATACCATCTAAGCCTGATCTACGATTGAGGAGCAACGAGTACAAACTATTTTAATGCATCGAAATTTTTGGCGAGTGACACGATCATCATTAATTGAAATATGCTATATAACAGAATTAGATCATTCTTCACAGTAATCACGTGAGTTAATTATGTAACATGTAAGTTACTTTGTTATGTAACACCGAACTAGTATATGTAAATGATACATATATGTTTGCTGGCCACTTATTGAATGCATAACTAACCCATGCCCATTTTGTCGTATTCACACATTATTTAACGAAAAAACAAATCTTCTCATACGCGTTTTAAATGGGTATTTTGTGACTTTATATAAAGACTTCATATAAAGACATTTATTTTAAATTTTATATAATTTAGTATTTGATGTTAGACAAAGCACCAAATTATTGATTATTAAAATTTGGCAAGAATATTCAAAAATATATGTAGAATGCTGTAAAATTTTTTGAACTGCAACTGTGACTATCACTTTTTCATATTTTTTAATAGTATTTCAATTAACAGGACAAATGAAAATGTCTCATTGCATTTATTAAACATTTTATTATAGGCTGCCAAAGTTTCACTAAAATTCATGAAAGAAGATAAGTTCTCCAATCAGTGACAGCACCATTGTTATAGTCTATTTTTATGTATGAGAGAGTAATAAAACAGCATTTCTAATGCAAAACTTAGTACGGTCGTTTTAAATATTTTTACAGAATAATCTAAATATTTCCTAAAATTGTAATAAATGTACCTGAGCTATTACAAGTTTTCGGTCTTTTATTGGTCCTTTATAAACATAAGCTGTACAGAACAATAGAAAAAGGTTTGGACAGGCCAAAAGCCCTGTGTATTAAAGATTACATAGCCGTATCTTAAGATTATTTTCAATAAGTACCTATTTGCCAATTTTGTATTATTTTAATTCCAAGAATTTCTTACAGTAATCGAATTATAAGTAGATAAATACCTTCCCAACAAATTTCACTGAAAATGCGATTATAGGTTTTCCATTTAGTAAGGAGGTCCAAATTGTGTATTCTTGACAGTTTACAAAATGTCGTTTAGTTGCAACTTGCAAGGTGCAGTGTGAATTCTAGTGTGATCATGGAAAATTTGGAAGGGCCGCGTAAACGACAAAAAATCGGTCTTTTAACAGTTAATGAAAAAACATTAATATTTAATTGTTTTAAATCATTTACAGACAAACATTTCTGTAAAAGTGTTGATGACACAGTGGAATTAGTTAGTAGTGTTGGGAAATCTACGATTTACAGAGTTGTTAAAGAAGAGAAATGTGGCGAGTTTCAAATAGCACGTAAAGCTCCAGGAAAACCAAAATTTCAATTAGAAAATCTTTTGAAAGAAAGACTTCGAAGGAAAGTGCATGCGTTCTTCTTTAGAAAAGAATTTCCGACAGTAGACAAAGTTCTTGCCACGGTTCGAGATGATAAGGTTTACCCTGAAATGAGTCGAAGCACACTATGGAAACTTTTAAAAGAAATAGGTTTTCTATGGA